GCCTAAAAATGTATGAGGTTTTTTTGGCCTGGCATTCAATCAGTTAAAAATAGTCATAAAATTGCAATTATTATTCTCAAGTTCACTGACATGGGCTTGTCCCTGACACAGGTTTCCACATTGCAATCAGCATCCTGGGGGCTGCAATCAGGAATTGGTTAGTGCTCTCTGAGTTGACACTTGGATGACTTCAACTCTGAGAGCCCAAGTCAGAATTTACTACAAAGCACCAGGTACAGCAAATTTTGACTGTGACTACAACCAATGCTAAATTTCTTTATGCATGTGAAGAACATAAACAGCTTCCAGAAATAAGTCCATCTTTAACATCAGCCAGCAAAAGCTGGAATATAGCCTCAAACAAAGAAGTCAAAATAGGGTTGATTGCACTGCTCTATTTGTACTATAAAGTAAGGTTATATATTTGGACATTTAATTTTAATATACATTGTGACATTACTACAATTACATCATGATAATTCCTTGATATGTGTAGTTTTTATAAGTGTGTGTCTTTGAGTGTGAGTGTGTGTATGTAAGTTTTTTAATAGTCATCACACTCCCAACAAGCAATTAGGGCAGACATTTTTATTCCCATTTTATAGGAAGAAAACTAAAGCCCAGGGTCATGTGTTGACTTAATTGGGTGAAGCAAAAATGCAACTCTATCAATTAAATAACTCTGGGTCTGGTATTCTCTCCATAAACTTTTGCTTCCCAGCGCTCATCCATGACTTTTTTTTTTCTCCAGACCAGGTTCAGACTTCAAAGAAAATGCTAGTGTCACATCTCATTCATGTAACTGTACTTTAAATTGGAGACCTTGAAGCACATTTGAACCTTGAATTTTTATTAGAATTTGGGGGAGTTTTGCTAACCAACATAGTTTTACATACCCTCATGAAAAACACTAATTACCAAAAGCAAATCAACTGCTTAATTTGATAGATTTCAAAAATTAGGTTAATATATATTATTTATAAGTGTTTCAAATAGCCATAAAAGAGTCCTTATTCTTGGGGTAACCATATTCCTTGTAACATAAATATATTATGGGACAAGCAAGTCTCATTGTTTTGTTCTGATCTAAAAATGGTTTAATAGGCTCTGATAATCCCAATTTTATGGAATTTAATTAATTTTTAATAAAGACCATTAGCTTAAGTATAGATTTTATTCATCACTCCAAAGCTGTCATGTAAATAAATTCTTCAAAAAACTCTTTTTAATACTCGTATCCTGATTTGAAGCTTCAAATATATTCATGAATACACTAGAACAAATTGTAATTGTCAGTATACTTTATTTGCAAAGATATGCTACTGAGGATATAGAGAAATTGCATAATCAACATAAGCTTTAATGACAGAGAAGGCTGAATATGTCTAAATTCTGTCACCACTGACACCATTTTGCAGTTAAATCCTGTTTTAACATGATTTATCATCTATAAAAAGATGACAGGAGCCACCTAGTTGTTCTAAATAAGACTGAGCATATTTACTGTTTACAAAAGTGGTTTAAAATAATGTCAAACATATTTGTCTTATTCTGAGAAAATGTGATGGACAGTTTTCATTTGAATAACCGTGAGGGCTGATTTGGAAATTTTGTTTTTGTTTCCTGGTAAATTTTTTTAAATCTGAGAAGAAAGATGCTGTCAGCAATTTAGACCCTGATTATATTCCGTTAACTGAAGAAAACTTAACATTTGACATGGTCTTGCACATACAGGGCAAGCAATAAATAAAGAAAATGACTGAATCATTTGAAATGAACCTTACAATGAGCAATTTTGCTTTTATCTGAGTTATAGAAGTAACTGGAAGCTACAGTTGGAACACATAATGTAAAGCTTGTTTAAAAAAAAAGATAAAGAAAATGTCGAGGGAAGTAGAAAGTATTACCTGTTTAATGTTCTAAAACTATGACCCCTCCTCCCCATATATCCCTATACTTGGGAGTTGCTGCAGGTGATTCTCTGACTTTTTTTTTTTTTTTCTGGATTAAAAGGAAAACTCTTTATTCAAAATAGCACTGGGAAAGAAGAGAATGAAGCAAATTGTTAGGAGAAAGACCACAGCTCTATATTTTATTGCAAAACAACCAAATGCTTTATAGGATCAAAAAAAGGAGGACAGTCACAAGCATATGAAACAGTTATATTCAGTTCATGACAAAAGTACAGAAGAATCGCCTGACACATATTAGGCAACACAATCACAGAATAGAGGAAAGTGATTTCCAAGCAATAAGAGGCTGTGTGAACAATTCATGCATCATACAAAATTTTAATGCATTGTGCCTTATTTTATGTGGCAGAGTTTTTGTCTTTCTTAGTGGTTCATAAAATAATAGTGGGTCTTGCAATTGATATTGTCTTAAATTTTAAGAAATAGAATCTTAAAAATGGTATGAATGAGTGTTGCTAAATATTATGCAGTTAAAATCTAGTTAAAACAACTTGAATTTAATAATGTATTTTTTAAGTGCCAATATTTGGATGCTACTTAGGCTACATATACAGATATCATCAAGGTTGCTTACAAATACAGATAACATCAGGGTTGTTTAATTAACTGGTCTTGTCTAGCTTAATTAGAAAAAAAAGATAAAGAAAATGTCCAGGGAAGTAGAAAGTATTACCTGTTTAATGTTCTAAAACTATGACCCCTCCTCCCCATATATCCCTATACTTGGGAGTTGCTGCAGGTGATTCTCTGACTTTTAAAGTACAGAAAAACATTTAATTTCACCGTCTATTTGGAATAAGAATAATTAGCTACAGCTCAATCTCAGTTGCATATTTCACATAGTGCATGTTAGTGGAACTACATAAAACTGATGAATAATTTAAATTCTATTTTTGAATGCAAAATTGTATCTTAAATGTGTATTCATTTTGACTACAGGCATACTGGTTATCATAAGTGGTTTATATGTGCATCTTTAATGTATGATTTAAAGAATTCCATTTTACTAGTTAGGGTACTAGCAAACTTTCAAGTGTGGATTTTATTCAAAAACCTGATAGTATCTTCTCATAATACTATAAAAATTCATCAAAGAAAATTTGACACAGTAGTATGATTAAATATTCTTGAAAAATACTTCCTAGATTTTGAACAGAAAAAGAAAATATAAAGAGAAATGTTCAATAGTTCTAGAATGGAAGAGTATGATTTTTGTTTTTCAGGTCCCAAGAAGAAAAAAATTTGAAAACCTTTCACTCTAATGACCACCAAAATGGGCATAATAAAAAAAGCTTTATCAAGATTAGAAAACAAAACAAAACAAAAAAGCCATGTGGGCAGCCTTGAGTGTATTTCATGAGCTCCCGGAGAGACAAAGAAGAGTCAACCCATCTAAATCTTCATGGTGCCTGGTCAGTGATCCATCTCTGTATTCCTCAGATGAGCATGAGCCCATGTAGTTAAGCAGTTTCTACTCTTCCTTCTCCAGGCCTCTTAGTCAAGGATGCCTTATGGAAACCCAAATGGAACCTTCCTTCCGTCCCTGGCTAGTGTGAACATTTTAAATACTGTAAATGCTGCAGCTTCTCAATCCCAGATAAAGTCTATCTATGCCTGTTTATATATGCCTATTTTTGTTTGTTTATTTTCAAGCTCAGGGCTTATTTTGTCAGTTCCACAAGAGCTGTATTCATTTGTGAATCACAAACTCTAGCCTATATTCCAGAATAGGTCGCATTTTTGACACAGAGATTATCTTGGTGAATGATTGATATGGACCCGCAATTTTAAAATATGGAAGTCTTACCAAAAAAATCATTTGTTTCATCTATTTTTTCTAAGAAGATTATCATTTTATAATTTTGCCTATTGATTTCAAAAGCTTGCTATTGTTTTGTTGATACCCTATCATAATAAAATCTATCATAGGATTCCTTGGAATCAGAGAGCTAAGAAGGAAGTGGTTTTTCCATATTACATACGTTCTTGACTATATCAAAAGCTAATTTGACTCAATTAATAACAAAGTGTTTCCAAAAAGTTTGAAAATGATCTTTAAAATAGCTATATGTTTGAAATGATGATATGAGTTGAAAATTACAATAAATCCAGCTGTGGTGTGAGTAGGTAGAATGTTGTAAAATAGGAAATATTAATAGTAAAATTTGAAAATAGGCATAACTTTTTCCTTCAAAAAATAGAAAAAATTAGATATCTGTGTGTGAAATTTAAATAAATAAAATCATATATATATATATATATATATATATATATATATATGTGACAATTTCAAAGCAAGAGATAGGAAACAAGGAAGAGAGAGAGAGAAAGAGAAGAGAGAGAGAGAGAGATGTGTTTCAAGTTTATGGGCCTTGAAGAGATCATGATGGGTGATCTCAGCCTTTGTACTTCAGAGAAATGCTCATTGTCTATGGTTTGACTTAAAGGTGACATAGCAGAACATAGCTTGAAATTATATGCTTGAAGCATAGGATATAATGGGAGTTTCCTTCATGAACATTTCTTAGGATAGACATGTCAGTCTGCTTTCCTTCTCTTTTGGGTCCCAAAACATAATCGAGTTCTCAGCTTTCATTGTTGTTATATGCCATTGAGTCAGCTATGACTCCTGGAGATCCTATGGATGAGTGACGTTCACAACGTCCTGTCCTTAACAACCCTACTCAGCTCCTGCAGACTCATGCCTGCGACTTCTCTTACGGGGTCAGTCCATTTCATATCTGGTCTTTCTCTTTTCCTGCTGCCTTCTATTTTTCCCAGCATTATTGTCTTTTCCAAAGAACCCTGCCTTCACATGATGTATAGAGCCCCGAACATAACTGAGGCCCCTCCTTTCCAATAATAGGAGAGTAGAACACTAGCTAGACATTAATCAGCTGTTGTCCTGAAATATTACACAAGTTGGGTTCCAACTGATACTCATATTTGTTTTTTTGTTTTCCCTAATATAAAATCATTTCAGTAATCAGGGTTTTTATTAATGGGTTTATTCAGCATTTGCTCAATACAGATGCATGCACAGGAAGCTTCATTGATTACGTGCATAGCACTCATCTCTATCACATTCATAATTTGCATTGGGTTGTGTATCATCATCCGTGTTGTCTTCGTCAATGCTCCCAAATACCCTACAATGGACCTGTGAAGGCTGAATAATGTTTTCAGATTGTACATCAAAATATAAGGTGAATCAGGATCCAGACCACAGTGTGCAGACTCTAAGTCCAGTATTCTTTCCAATATGGAGCATGGTCCGTATTCTGAAGGTATGACTTTATACCAAAGGCATGGTGTATGTTCAACACATCTGAGATATGATTACAGCATTTTTTCCTGGAAATATCCCTGTCCTATTTTACCTGGTGAAAAAGAAAAATTCAGTTGTTTGAGTAACGCAGTCATTGTTCTTTGCCCCATCAAAATTATGTAGCTTCTGAACGTGTAAGATCCTGCACAACTTTTCCTATAAACAAGAGTTTCAAATCAAATTCCAACTGTTTGCTAAAAAATACCTGTGCTGCATTTGTATGAAACAAACAATACCAATATGTTCAAAGGCACATATGTAAACAATTTGAAAATCATATCACTGGCAAAAAATTGTTAAGGAGATGGTAAGGTCACAGACATTTTATTTTAATTAATTTTAATTGTGGTAAAATACACATAACAGGATAATAGCACCAGACATTTTTTACTCACTCATCCTAATACAATGTTGTATGCTAGGAAGTGCAGAAAACCAAAGGCAACATACACAAGTTTCCTGTCAATGCTAATCTAGCTTATTCATATGTAGTATGGGAATATAAATAATGACTATATTAGTCAAAATGCATTTATATATATATAATAACCTCCAGGCAAATGTTAGGAGCTATCCTGGGTATCTTGAATGTAATATCATTAATCTCACTGTTTTCCCATTATACAGATGATGAAATAGGGACTCAAACAGAATAAATTACTTTTCTGATGTCATAACCATTTACTCTTTCCACTAAGCCATGGTTAGCTTTTACATAAATATAGTTATTTCAAGACATGATTTCATTGAGGTAGCCTACAAATAATATATCAGAATCATTCATTGCAAAATAGATGACAAGATAAATTGAAAAGAAATAAAAGCTTTAGCCTCCACCTTTTATTAAATAATTTCATTTCTGAGTGTTCCATTTTCCTGCCTCACTCTCCAATACTTTTTCCTGTATGCCCATTGAGAATCACCATTTTTAATATCTCTGACTAGAACATGTTACAAATATGAAAACAGAAAAATGTTGAGACAACACAAAGATTGAGAACTATAGCTATATATAAAATGCTACATATTTAAGGTATATTGGATAGAGAATAGTTAACTCTAAAAATGAACTCTGCTTCCATGAGCAGTTCAAATTGCCCGGCTCCTAAGTAGACTTAGAGAAGTCGGAGACATTAATATCATTGACTGTATTTATGTATAGGTGTCAAGTGCTTTAAACAAAAGACTGTTCTCTGCATTTGCCACCCTAACAGTCAGCTACATGTAGGAGCCAATCAGACAATCATCTGGAGAGAGCGCCTCACCTGTGTCTGCAGGGCTGAGGAGATGTGAACAACGACAAACCATTTTGACAAGCATAACACCATTGCTGGATTTGTTTTCAAGTGATAATATTAGAGGAAACCGAGCATTTTGAGTGCAGAGAGGCTGTGTCAGTAAAGCCAACAGTAAAACCATAAATGCTCAGCTAGCAGAGGAAATGCCACATACACGGCATCGTAAATATTTATTCACATAATCAAAGCATAAATAAATATTTCAAGAATGAGGAACAATGTCCATTGTGGGCCATAACTGTAAATGACACTGACGTACATATGAAATATAAATAATACATAAATATAACTTATAATTCAAATATATATATAAGCTTTTCAAAGCTGTTTATAGGATATATCTGAATGTACTTTAATTTTCTAAGGTTTGAATGTCTGTTTTCTGCATAAGGGAGGATTGGAACCATAAAGCCCTCATCTCATAATACTTAAATTATTTCTGCTTCGGATGAAGGCTTCACAAACTAGGAATGACAGTCTCCCGTGGGTCTTTTGCCAGATCGGTTGTGACGATGGCAAAACCTGCCTGCCAGTACCGTTAGGTGGCTCCCAGGCCTCGGTGAGCCTTGGCACGCCTGACGCCTGGACATTACCAGTAAGAAGCACGTTGATTTTCTTTCACAAGGCTAACCCATTGGCCTTGTTGCTATCATAACAGTTTCTTTACAACTCTTCAGTGAAACTTCTTAGCCATCCTCAGAGTTAGAGAAAAAATTAGGAATTTTTTGTTTGTTTGTTTGTTTGTTTGCTTGCTTGCTTGCTTGTTTTTAGAAAAGTATAAGAAATTTGGGTGAAAAAAGTTTGGAAATAGGATAAAAAAAGAGAAAAGTTTGAAGGAAAATAAGGATTAAGACATGCAAAGAGAACAATTAGTGATTGTGGTGGGTAAACTATTATACATAAAAATGATAACTGGTAGTAGAGATACTGAAAGATTAAGAAATATAGCTAATCTATTAAAATATTTAAGCCATGCATACTTGAGGAAATATTTAGTTAGCAGGGGAAATGCATGTGTTTTAAAAGATGGCTAACAGAGATCCCTGTGAAGGAAGGACACAGCTAGGTCTATGTAGGAAAGATAATTCCTTTTAGGAAAAAAACAATTCTCACTCGTATTGTGGCTCAGAAAAGGGGAAGCCCCTTGCATTTCTCAGTTGAACAAAAGTGAGGCAAAGCAAGGTCCGTATTTCTCTTCACAGTAATAATCAAGTTTCAGTGGGCATTCTGGAAGATTGAAATAAGGGAAACAAGAAAAAGTAGCCCAACGAGTGAGAGAGATGGGACTTTTTTGAAATAAAATGGCAATTGAAATATCCTATGACACAGGTTAATGAAGAATTTTGAATATTTGATTGTCTGCTTCAAAGTTATCCATTTTGCATGAATTATAATTATCTTTCACACTTCCGCAACCCTCAGAAAAGTCTGGTCCCCCAGGAGAGGGGACGCTGCTGTCCAGCAGGAGTAGAGAGAAGAAAGTAGCCCGTAGAGCTGAAATAGGGGTTAGGACCAGGCAAGCAGAGAAGCCCCTTTACTGTTCTTCTTCCACAGCAGAAACCTTAGTAAACTGGGGAAAGCACTTTTCTTCCTCTGCTTCATGGGATGAGAGCTTGGGCCATTTATTTGGATTTTAAAGAGGAGGCTTATCCCCAAAAGTTGTAAGACGTAGGCACATTACACCAAAGAAAAACAAAAGTGAGAGAGAGGAAAAAAAATGGAAAAAAGAAAATTCTTAAAACCACAGTATAATTTTCTTTTTCCTCCTGATTCAGATGTTCAGTCTGCCTAGATTTAATATGTCAAAGACAGGAGATTTTTTGAAAACTGAACTAATTACGGTAATAACATAAAAGGGACTTAACAGTAGAAACAGGTGTTATTTTGGAAACCACTCTACCAAAATCACATTTTATTTCTGTAAAAATAAATAGTGTTGTCTTTTATATGTCACACAATGCACTAATCATTTTGGAAGATACAAAAATGACTAATGGATGTTCTCAAGGAGTTTTCATTCTAGGAATTCATTTTCGATGGTGTGTGTGTGAGTGTAACATGTTTTGTTTCTCAGGAATAACTTTCTCTGTGACATTGAAACTCACTAATGATTCTTTTTGTATTAAGATACCCCAGGGCTGGCCGAGTGGTGCGTTGGTTAAGAGCTGGCTTGGGACGCCAGAGGGCCCCAGTTCGGATCCCACATATGAGCGCCAGTGACACTGCCCACTACAGCTAAGATGCTGAACAACAGCTCAACCTGGATCTGGGCTGCCGTGAGTCACCGGCGATGGCGTAGGCTGTAGCCCCTGTGGCAGTGGGTTGCCATGGGCTACCGTGTGTAGCCAGCAGCCAGCGTGAGCGGCCAGCAGTTGCTGTGAGTGGCCGTCCAGAAGTCGGCGACTGATCTGCCTCACCCGGGAAGAGCGCAATGATGGTGCCAACTTGGGCTAGTGAAGCAATGTCCTCCACAACTAGACTGAAGAACAAAAGGACAGCAACATATCTGTTCCCCTTCCCCCAAGTCCCCAATAAAAATCTTTAAAAAAAAAAGATACCCCAAATACTTAGCATTCTAACAGCAGTTACACACTCATTTTTTGGCAATCATTTCAGAAAGATCCTAAATTAGATTACAAGTCTGAAGGAAGAAGACATATTTTTAAAAGTTCATAGAAGACCAAAGATGAAGCACATTTTACACAGTGTAATGAAATATGATAGCACTAATTATAACAAAAACCAAAATCTTCAATGAAAGTAAGTCATTTTTCTCTACCAAACTTTTACAAACTTCATGTTGTATATTTTGATAAAATATGTCTTCTGTAAGGATAATTAGGAACAGGGCTCCATGTGTCAGTTGCTACAGAGGGCCCAGTGCCAAGCACAATGAAAACACGGTCCTATTCAGGCCACAAGGTGCTCAGAGCAGGGAACAAAGGAAATACTAGCTATGTCTTATGAGGTATACAAAGGTGCTAAAAAATGTACACACATTTAAAAAAATAAAATTAAAATTGTAATACTCAATATATACCAATAACAAAAGATGAACAGAAGCCATGTGTGTACATTTTTTTGGCACCCCTGGTACAGAAAAAGAGCTTCAAGATCAGAGATATTAGTTCAGACTAAAACTACAAGGAACCAACCTAAGCGGTAGAGGTTTGCCTGGGAAGGATACGCCAGGACAGAGTAATAGCCTAAGAGGAAAAATAATGCACAAGTCATTCTTGGCTGAAATACAGAGGTTGGTGGTAGATGATAGATGATGATAGATAGATAGATAGATGATAGATAGATAGATAGATAGATAGATAGATAGATAGATAGATAGATAACAGATACATGATGCTATTGAATATTATCTTAGGGCACTCTAGATTTCATTTTAAATATCTAAGATATTTGAGTAGGGAAAAAAATCTAAGGAAGTCAATGTGATTGCAATATATTTCATCCTAGGTTAGGAAAAGAAAGAGCCTTTCAGAATAAATTTAAAGGGATAGAGAAATTTTTCAATTGCTTGGTGATTATAACCCATAGATGATGCTTAATCAGGTTTAAAGATTAAACTAGACAGGGGCCAGCCAAGTGACTCGTTGGTTAAGAGTTGGCTTGGAAGTGCGAGCTCTGAGCAGCAGGGCTGCCGGTTCGGATCTCACATGGACCAGTGACGCTGCACCCTCTAAAGCTAAAATGGTGAACAACAGCTCGACCTGGAGATGGGTGGCCACGACGCACCAGCGAC